AACTTACGCAAACATTTTGAGACACGTTGGAGATTCCAGTGCAAATGCCAAACACCAACAGTCACAGTGAGGTGAGATACAGAATTCTTGCTCTCTGCCACGCAACAAAAACAATTCAAGAACGGTTTAAGAATGCAAACACTGGTGTGTTAACTTGGCCTCTGAATTAGTCAGCTCTTAGTCAAATCAAGAATCTGTGAGGTGTTTTTGATAAACAAGTTAAGGTTCTTTAACAACAGCCTTTATGTGAGATAACTCAGGAGACCTTCAGAGGTCTAGTGGAGTCTACGCCTCAAAGCATTAAGGTTACTTTGGTGGGAAAAGAGATCCATACTGAATATTTTATGGTTGTACAGTGTGGCTTTAAACAGCTGTCAGTCAGACAATACAGAGCTCACTCTCTGAAGAAACAATACAAATTCTGGCTGGTGTTTTCACATGTCACATGAAGAAAAATCCCCATTTTATGCTTTATTGACAAAAGCAGGGAGGAGGATGTGGTGTTGATCTGACGGCTCACATTTATCATCATGAAGAAAAATATCAGTCGGCACAACAGAGTGGTTCTGTAATGCGTTGGCCTTTTCTTGGGATTTACTGTCAGTAATAAAGATGGTCGTGTCTCGCAGCTTCTCAGAAGACTTCAGCAACAATAAGTGCTGGAACGTCAGCGTGTCTTTGTTTTTCTCTTTAGTTTGAAACAGACACTGCTGAGATCCATCTGAGCACAGTAACCCCGTGTAACCCTGAAATGTTGTCAGAGTTGTAAAAACATTGGAAGTTTGAAATTCAGAAATTAGTCAATGTTTGAAAAGCAATAAAGGGTGGCAGTACACATCTTACAGCTTTCCTATCCTATTGTGGTCCTATATTAAAGTATCAGAATCAGAATAAGCTTTACTATCATTGCACCGAGATACCGAGAATATGTACGTACAGCCGTCTGAAAGATGAACAGAGTGCACAAAGCTGCTGCTATAAGCGCGGCCTTCTTATTCTTTTCAGAATACTTTATTTTTAGATAGAAAAAGGGACAAAGCCATGAGGGGAGAGGATAGTGGCATTACAAAAAAGATCTCTTCACACCTTGTCCTAACAGGACACGATTTAAGACGTCAAAAAACTCTGCCAGCCAAAAGCACATTTATGAACACGTACATATGCATTTACGACGAGGTGGTCCACGAAGCACTAACAGATAGTCCATTGTCCTGATAAGACGATGGTCAGCTGGCACAGTTCTGATAAGCCTCCACAGAAGGGGTCGGGGTGGGGGGGTTGCAATAGACCAAGCTTTTCCTTAGTTTACACATTTCCCAGGAGAAATTGATAAGTCGGCCTGCTCGAGGCCAGCCGGGAGTCCCATTCAGATAACCACAACTGTTAATTTATTCAGGTAGACTATTTTTCCGTCAGCCTTGAGTCTGTACTGATACTTCCGAGGTCCAAAATGGCCAGATTAGGGTGCAATCTACTGGTCCGTGCTTACGAGCATCTTCAAGGTTGTGTTCATGATGACGAGTCCCAAAGCCGCAGGTGGCCTGCGATTCAAATCACTTCCATCTTATGGTTTCGCTCGTAAATCAGTTGATTTTGAGTCCTCAAAGCACCAACCAAACCTTCACATGGAGAGCAGCCTGACGAGGTCCAAATTAACTGCGACCGTCTTCTTTGTATGTTGATAAACCAGGAACCAGACTATTCCAAAAACAGGAAACTTGTTATCAAAATCCAATTATATGCAATTTCGACGTCCTCGATCGACAGCAGAGACATCACCCCCAGAGATTTATCCAGCTGCATGCGTGTCGTCCGAGCAGATGAGGGTTCTCCAGGACCCTGTCGCTTTGTTGAAAAGATTTTGTCATTTGTGTCCAAAGTCCAATTGGTCAGATCCAAAACAGGAGTTTTCATTTGGGAAAGGTGTAAAAATAGGAGCTGCACTGATACACAGACAGAGAGCAAAAAAGCAGGAGGAGAACAGGGAGCGGAGGAATGCGTGCGTCTCGTTAGAGAAATTCTCTGATTGCTTGTCATCAACAGATTTTCTATTAAGCCCATGGATTGCAATAAATTGTACCTGAAACCACCAAGAATTGTTGGTCAGCTTCAGAATTTAAAAGTTTAAGGAATAAAAGTCTTTAATAGCAAACAACGCTGATAAAAGAAATTGTTTTGTACTGCTTTACAAATGGTACCTGGATGGCCCCCATTGATGAGGGATTTGAAAAGTGAATGTAGTTTTTGAGACAGGGAATGTAATTGAAGCTTCATGTTTTTGGTGCAAGATATTCAAGCAGGTATCGGTAGTATTAACACAGTATAAAAGAACAGAGCTAGTTGTTTTTTTTTTCTTGTTGGGGTGGAGGGACAGATCTTGAAGAGCAGTGGGAGTCAGTTTATCCAACACAAGGTGCAATGGCAGAGCCGGGGGGTGGCTAATGGTGGCCTTGGCCACTTTTCGTTGGCCATCCCAAACTATACTTTTAGGCAATATAAAAACTAGAAAGCATAGTTTCCTCAAATAATTGTGGTGGCCAGTTTACACACATATATATGGTAGTGGCTAGGCCTGTCAAGATAACAAATTCTGCTGGGCGATAAATTGTCTCAGAAATTATTGCGATAAATGATAATATTGTTTGAAATTTGACAATAATTACTAATTATTGTCAAATTTAAGAGAAACGTTGGTTAATTTGTTTTGATGTAGTACCTTTATTGACCACCGGATGGCAGTATAAGACTGCTTGAACCAAAGGATGGATAGTGAGGGAGGAGCAGTGTCTCTCTAAGAAAAATGGGAGGGAGGCCCCTTGACGTGACATGGGCTGTCTCTCGTTACTGTTTTTTGGTTCTCAAAACGGCGGACGCTTTATGTGATTTGAGCTCTTTAGCGTAGCATTTTTCACACAAAGTTTTTAATACAAAATCAGTAAACAAGTTCTCTGCTTCTTTTTGCAGAGAAAAACAACTTTTTACACGAAGGCACGGGTTTCAACTGTGAATTTTGGAGCTTTGACAAGACTGAGGTTTATCCCCGAGGTCGGCCTAGTAGCTTAGCTCATAGCTTAGCTTCTCAGTTTAGCTGCTTTTCATGATCCAAAAACACGATTTTGGACGGTTAAAACAGATTTTAAAGAGAAAAGAGAAAGGGAGAGGTCAGTGAAGAACACCGGAGCTGAGCTTTTTATCATCCAATGTCTTCAGTAGAAAGAGAGAGACACGAAGAAACGATAAACCCAATAAATGAAAATGAGGTCGATAATTTTCATTTATCATGCGATTAATTGATTTATTGTTTATCACGACAGGCCTAGTAGTGGCCATCTTTGAATTGAACTTTCTTACACCTAGATAGGAAACCTAAAGGATACCTCACTCAGTTTTTCAAGTTATCATGCTCGCAGCGTGGACAGACAGACGGTATTTCCAATTCCCTCTCTTACGTCTGCGACAAGGGGCAATAAATGCATTTTCAGTAGCGGTCTTGGTGTATTCTGTGTCCATCTGTTGAGCTACATGGTCACTTTTTTGCCAGTTTCAGAAAATAACAGCCTATTTTCATGTGCATGGCTTGGAATACTGCATTCTAAACTGTGCACATTATTTTGTTGCCCACCTCGGCACATATATCCACCACAGTCTGTTTCGTTCCCACCTTTGCAGTCACCACTACACTTAAAATCGTAGGACAAAAACTTTGACTTTGTATTTGGTTGATTATTTCTTCATTGTAACAATGCTTCTTGGTAATAAATCTTACACTGATTAAATTCCTGTTAATCCCCTTTAAATGGTGCCACAGTTATTAGTTAAATACATTTGTGGGTTGAACAGCAGAGAAGTATGTGGGTGGCACCACTGAAAAACGTTCACAAGAAGCATGAACTTGACAGCAGACTGAAGCAGGGGGCTTGCTGTTCCAATTTACAGCCTCACAAGCTGGTTATGGGTTGAGGAATCACCTCATTATCAATCTGAAAGTTGAGAGTAAAAAATGCAAAGGCAACGTTTTCAGGATGGCAAAGAAAGAGACGATGCAGGAAGTAGAGCGCAAACCGGTTCCCAGCATATTTGTACATCCAACAGTATGTCTACTGACTCAAAATGTTAGAACAAGTATTTTTCATCTGTAGACTGGGATTTCAAGTATTTTCATTAGCATGCACATGCAGTTAAAGTAATTCAATAGCTATTTTAGAGAGCACGGCACAAGAAGTAGTCTGACCAACAGCTCTCCTTGTGTGACTAGAGCATGCTCCGCTTCTCTCAAGCGCCCTAGCCACCCCCACCTCCCGTGCCGAAAACTGCCGGAACTAACGTAATGCTAAGCTAGTGGCGTGCAATAAAAAACATGTTAGCTAAGATGTAGCACTCCACTTCTCTCACATATCCTAACCCTGCACCCCCGTCAGCAACTGCCAGTACTAATGTGGCGTTAAGCTAGCACGCAAAACAGAGGTGTCTCTCCCTCATCCCTCCGTGAGCACCCTGTCAAGGCAGATGACTGAGGAGAAACACTGGTGTGGAGTTGTTGTAAGTAACCAGGAAAACCCAGAGTGGATTTTTAGTAGTTTGAATATTCTCCTATTGATCAAGTGGAATGGATTCAATCATGAAGAAATAGAAAATGCTTGGGTGAGCTAATATTTCATGGCAGATGTGGGGGGTGAGGTCCAAATGTATATTTTTAGATGAGGTGGGGACACGTCCCCTTCACATATAATTGTTGCAACGCCCAGGCTGTGAACAGAGATGTCTGGGCTGCCCTACTCAAGCTGCTCCCACTACCTGACTGGAACAAGCAAAGGAGGGAAGGTGGTTGGTTTGATAAATGGTTAGACAGACGGACAGTAATTGTTGAGTGTCTGCCCCCTGAGCAATTAGCTCAGTAAATGTGGCCCTTTGAACAATTTAGTTGAATAGCCCTGAAATATACTGCAGGTCAAGACAGACAAATTGTTTTGAGTCTTAAAACAAGACTTGGCTTTTCTTACCTGAAAGTCGTCTGTGGGGAACTGCAACATATCGCGAAGAACATCGCTGACGATCTGGGTCTTCCTCTGCAGGAGAACATTTTCATAGTCCAGAGGCTCTATGATCTTTGGTTTGACCTGCAGGAGCAACAAAACAACATCAGCCTAGCTTCTGCATCTCAGAATCAAATATTTGATGTCAAAGCACAGAGATATGTTCAATTTCATCAATGACTGGACGATAACAGCAGCGTCATTGCAAGGGTTGCTGGATAGGCTGCATAGGGAAACTTGTGGTATTCACACAGTCTGGACAACAAGTTGCCATTGTTCTATCGCTGAATGACTGGTTGACAGCTACAGACGGAGGAGCTGGCACAGAAAAAACAGTGAATATGGGTCACAAGAGGAGGAGATGTTGAATGACGGAAGAGCTTTAGGGTGAGAGTCTGTGAGCCATTGTACCAGCCACAGAGTCACAAGCTAACATTCACAATCTGAGCTAAATGAGTGCTGCTATATGATCACTCTTCTGAGAGTTTTGGATATTAACATCTTGATTCGTTAAAGAAGGCTTTAATTTGTTTGGAAAAGATCCAAGGCTGTTTTCTCTATTTAATACAACAGTGGCATCATTCCTCAGTGGCATCATCAATAAAACTCTGGCACAACAATTTCCTGCGGGACCAATAAAGCTCTATCTTATCTTATCTTATCTTATCTTTCCCTGTTATAGTATGTCCTTATGGGTAAACCATCCCGAGGACCTGATTCAACCTTGCTAGAGTTCAAAAGACTTTCCCAACTTGGGTGAACACACAATTTCCCTTTTTTATATGTATTTAATGAGTTTCTTAGATTTTGCCATTGTTCTGGGTAATGGTCACTCCAGTAAATGCTGCCAAAGAAATTGTTTTATATTGGCAAAGAGAAATCAACAGCTGCAGTCAATCATGATCCACAATGAGAACTTTAAAAAAAAGTTAAATTTTGAAAAAGTACAAAACAAAATTGTACTTACTGTACGTACTATGCAACAAAGTTAAGTCAGGTCCTCTGGACGGTTTCTTTTTTGTTGAAACGTTTCATCTTTCATCCAAAAGACTGATAAAGTATTTTGTAAGTAAGACTTTTTAAAAGGCTTTTATCCAAAGAAATAATTTTTAGTAGACTGTTCCAAGATTTTACGAACTTTTGATTTGTGGAGATTTTAATATTCATGTTTGCTGTATTTCTGATCAGTTAGCCTCTGATTTTATCAATCTCTAACCTCTTTTAATTTAATACAGTCTGTGTAGGGATCTACTCATCTTCTTGGGCATACCTTGGACCTTTCGCATGGACTGTCCGACTCATTTTGTGACGTATCAAACTGCTATCTCTGATCACTTCCTCATTATGTTGGAGTTCTCAGCCCCCTTACAAGCCAGTAGGCCTGTCATTGTGGGTCACTGGGGTCATATCTTCACTCCTGAGACAGCTGGACTGTTTACTGCTGCTTTTATGGATTCACAGCTTTTTGTTTCCAATGAACATCATCCAAATTATTTCCTTACCACTTTCCAAACCACTTGCTCTGAAATTCTGGACTCCATTGCTCCTTTTTGGTTAAATTCACCAAACCAAGAGCAGAGCCATGGTTAAATGATGCCACTTGTGCTCTCGGACAAAAATGCAGAAAGTACGACAATGGAATAAAGACAAACTACTTCCATCTCGGAAACTTTGAGAGTGTCTTGCTAATTACCAGAGGTCTGCTAAAGAGGCAACAAGACAGTATTTACGTATATGGATTAATTTCTAACAGTAGTCACTGTCTTCAATCAATCAACCTTTGTTTATACAGGTAAATCCCATTGAGCCTCGAGGACTCATTTACAAGAGAGACCTGATTTCAACAAAGAAAGATGACAACAGCAACAACAATAAACAGTTATAAAAAAGCATGCTACAGTTTTTTTTTTTTAACAAATAGGATGGCTAGGATGGTTAGAGTGTTTTTTTTAACACAATTAACTTTGGTGTTAACCCTGTCGCCTGTGTTCTACTAGACACTACAGCCACTAACTGTGAGAACTTCCTCAATTTCTTTGGTGGCTTCAGTCAGACAGGTTACTGGTTCCCCAACTGTTAAAAGTCCATAATCATAATAGCATTGCCATGTCCATGGATGATAAGTGTCATGTTGCTTAAGTGTTGCTGGATCTTACGGCTGCTTTTGACATAGTGGGTCATGCTATCCTTATATCTCATCTTAAATACTCTGTCTTCCTCTACTGCTCCTCTTTCTTGTGGTGTGCCGCAGGGCTGTATTCTTGGTCCTCCATTTTTCTCTTTATTTGCTGCCACTTGGATCAGTTATAGTCATCATTGTATGTTCCCATATAATGACAAAATCGGTTCTCTGCATTTAACCCATCGTACCTGGGATACACCCAGGTGGAGCAGTGGGCAACTATTGAGCACTCTGAGAGCAATTAGCGATTGGCTGTCTTTCTCAGAGGCACCACGACATGTGGGAATGGCTGGGAGTCAAATTCCGACTTTCTGGTCCCGAGATGAGGTAGAGGTAGGGCAAGGTAGGTGTGAGAGATGAGGTTCTTCTGTCTAGAAGAAGTAACCTTCACACTGCTTTTATTGATTGCATTGTCAATATTGAACAGTGGTTTCACCAAAATCTTCTGTTTTTAAATGAAGGAAAGACAGGTTTTTTTTTTTATTATTATTTTGGTGATGATGCTCCTTGTCACTTTGGTGCTCTGACATCCAAGTTCAAACCCACATTTAAAAATTTAGGGGTGACTTTTGACAAGGATTTGAAGTTTGACATATAGCCTCTATTGTCAAGGCCAGCTTTTATCAGCTACGTCTTTTAGACAAAGTTAAGCCTTTTTAAAATTCTCCTGACCTGGAAAAAGCCATTCATATTTTTTCAGCTCAAGGCTTGACTACTACAATGCTTTGTATGTAGGAATCTCCCAATCCTTCATCAGATGCCTTGGGCTGGTCAAAAATACTGAGGCCCAACTTTTAACCAAAACCCCAAGACGTGAGCACACCACCCCGGTTTTATTTTCTTTACATTGGCTTACAGTCCATTTTAGAATTCTTTAAAACTTTTCTTGTACACTTTTAAAGCTTTTAACAACCTTGACCCACCTTATTTAGCTGATCTAGTAGCTTTTGGTGAGTATGAGAGGATCTTAAGGTCAACGAATACATCGTTGCTGTTTGTCCTCAAGTTCAAATACAAAACATTGGGGTTGCATGGAATCCTGGAATAGGGATGCACAATATTATCGGTATGGTATCGCTATCGGCCAATATTAGCATTAAAGTTCAATATCGGATATCGGCCATTCCATCAAAATAACTCACTGATATAAAAAGGTGCTGTTTTTTATGACAACCCAGTGACAAGGATGCCTGTAGCGGCAGCACAACATGATGATGTCACTCGCGCCTACCTGATCTCATGGCGGATAGGAAAATTCAAAATGACAGCAGTGTGGAAGTTGTTGTTTGTTTGTTGAGGATGTCAGATTCCAAAGGTTTTTGGACTACACTGAATCTTGCTACATATTTCCCAGTCGGAATTATTTTTCTGACGTAACCTTACCCGCATTACAAGCCGTCATTTCCAACGTCATTGACAAGCTAATAGCTGATAGCACTTGCGTGAGTTTTACCACAGACATTTGGACGTCGTGTTAGCCCCATTAGCATGATTAGTCTTACGGTACAATGGATAGACAAAAACTTTGAACTTAAAAAGTCTGTCCTTCATGCACAAGAGTGTAGAGGATCCCACACTGCAGTTAGGAACCTGGAACAAGCCTTCACAAGTGAGACGGCATTGCAGGTGACTAATGCTAATAAATAACATTTAACACTTTTCATTTAGTATAAGTTAAAGTGTTATGCATATCATATGGCCGTTACTGAATATATGTCGCCAGCTCTTACAGCTGTTACACAATTTTTGTAGCAAATAAGCCTAAATAAGAGGGCTATGTTCTGACAAAGGAAAGTATATAAAAAATATCGGTATTGGTATCGGATATCGGCCAAATACGTTTTAATATATCGGCATATCGGCCAAAAATCCAATATCGTGCATCTCTGGAACCAACTACTTTAACTCTATCACTGATCTGGGCTTTTTTTTTAAATAAAAAATAAACTTTTTATTCATTCATTCATTCAACCTTTATTTATACAGGTTAATCCCAATGAGCCTCCGGGACTCATTTACAAGAGAGACCTGGAGAGATACAGGCAGGCTTTTCGTGACACTCTGGCATTTTTGTATTTATATATATATATATATATATGTTTTAATTGTTTGTTTTTAACTTTTGTAATGTGAAGCACTTTGCACACCCTTTGGGCCGTTGGAAAGGGCTGAATGTTGATCGACTGGTAAAATGTGGGTTAAAATTTGATGAGTGTCTATCTTAACCTCCAAAAGGTGATAATTTCTTAATTGCAGCCATAGACCGCACACAATCACCGAGGGCCTCAAATGGCCTGCGGGCCTCACTTTAGACACCGCAAGTGTTAGAAAAAAAACCACAGGCAAGTGAAATCGCAACAACAGTAAACAAGTAAACAAGTTAAAGGATTTCCCCAAACTTCTAATTTATTATCTACAAATTACTGAGTATTGTGGGGCTGTTAGAAAGTGACTCTTGACTTGAATCCAACAAACACATGAACTGAGGCCACTTAAAAACATGTCTGACCCGTAGAGTGATGTTTTTATTTTTCTAGCCAGTGATGTAAGTCAAAGAGCCCTCAACGTTTCTCAGTCGCCCAGATGTTAAAAAGCAGAAAATGTGATAAGCAGAAAATCATAAAATGTTGTTTATAACTGGACGTTAGCCAGGCAGACAGAAGATAACCAGCTGTGAACTGTGACACTCGCCAGTAATTAACACGGACATGTTCCAGATATCTAAGGGCCGAGAATATTATGAAAGCAGATGAAGAAACAAGTGAAATAAAATCTAGTAATCATCCACCACTTAACCGCAAAGGCGGACGATAAAGTTTGTGCTCACGTCTGTGTCCGTGTGCTTGTGAGTACGTGTCTGTTAGCAAAATATTTCATGAACAACACGACGTTTTTTTAATTA